CAAGCCCTTTGCCAGAATGTAACACAAATGGCCTCTAGTCCAATTCCTATAGAATCATTGTTCCCATCTGAAACCTCCTGATCCTGGCCTTTACTGTTTTCGTTCCTTTCAGCATTCCAGTCTTTTGAGTATCCCCCAAAATCATCCACTGAGTTCTGCTTACAGCATTCTAGGGCTTCTCTAGCACACAGTGTGTCAAATACCCGTCTTGGAAGCCAATTCCAAAGACTTCTGAACCTCATGGTCATTGTCACAGCAATGACTCAGTTCTCTGGTACCGGTTTTCTGTATTAGTCCACTTCCCTGTTGCTGGGACAAAATATCTGACACCTGAAACTCAAGAGGGGAGAGGTTTATTTTGACATATGAGTTCAAAAGTTTCAGTCCATGGTCAGCTGGCTCCAAGACAGAAATAGCATGGTGGAAGGGCATGGTGGGGGAAAGCTACTCAATGCATGAGTGCAAGGAAGCAGAGAAAGTGGAGGACATAGCTGGGGAGAAGAATACACCCTTTCAGGTACACACCATTACTCACCCACCTCTTCCAACTAGGTCCTAATAGCACATTCAGCTGGGAGCTTATCAGTGAATTCCCTGGTGAGTATTGCACTCCCATGATCTAATTACCTTCCAAAGCCCCACTTCTGGACACATAATTTGGGTGAATATTTTAGATCTGAACCATAACAAAACCAGTACATTATTTAGAAGAATGGAGATAAATGCCAGAAAAAGTGGCTAAAAGTTGGAATGTTTTTTTGAGAGTCAGGGAAAGAAGTAAGAAACGTCTTTTCACTGATTTTTACCACTGGCTGATATTTTAATTATATGTATAAATTCATTTAAGAAAATTTAAAAGCTATTAAAGAATAAATGGGAACTGTGAAAGTAGATGGAAAAAATGCTAAATGTCCTGTTGGAAGATACCAGATTTTATATATATATACATCCTGTGTGGATATAGCAGATTAAATGCAATAGTGGAGAATAAAGAGATAAGCAATGAAATCCTGGATGAGGAAGTAGAAAGAAAACTTTGTCTTTAATGGGGAAATTTTAGAATCATTCATTCCTATTCACTGGGAAACATCTCCTCTCTCTCTCTCTCTCTCTCTCTCTCTCTCTCTCTCTCTCTCTCTCTCTCTCTCTTTCTTTCTCTCTCTCTCCCACTCCCTCTCTTTCCTTTTCAGCCTGTGACACAATTATGATGCTTCTGCCTTTCTTCTCCTGTCCTGTTTCTCCTCTTGCTCCTCTCCTCGTTCTCCTTTCCTCCTTTACTGGGAATTGAACCTACGGTCCTCCACGTGCATGAGCACTGTACCACTGACTCACATACCCAGCACTCATGTGCTCCTCTGGTCTATAAGAACAGTTATTCTCTCCACTCTCCCTGCTTCCTAGTACCCATGCATTGAGCAGCTTTCCCCCACCACACCCTTCCACCATGCCATTTCTGTTTTGGAGCCAGCTGACCATGGACTGAACCTTTTGAACCTATATGTCAAAATACCCTGCTTGGAAGCCAGTTCCAAAGGCTTCTGTCATTTTCCCACTCAGAAAAGTTTCATTATTTCCCCAAGATTCTGAATCAATGAGGGAATATGAAATTCAGGCTTTTGAATTTCTTAGACGTGTTTTCACCTTAATGAAGTAAAGTGAAGTGAAATGAAACAAAATAGAATGTTTTTATTTCACCCACAGGGTACATCAAAGCTATTTTATTTCCTTCTTGAAGGCATTCAAGTATTAAGAGGTCTAGTAACCCCCAGAGATCTGGTAACACCCTTGATGAATACAATACACTCTCTTGAGACAGCCCAGCTGCACCCATCAACTATAACAGAAATGCCAACAGAAACAGAATAATCCTATTTAAGCAGATACCCTAGATATGAAACTCACATTCTTAAGACATAACAAACACTCATGGTCCATATCAGAGCATTTCTGGCACTACATATGTGAGAAGGCCACTATCATTATGTGCTAAAATAGTCAATACATTACAAATATTCCCAAACAAGGAAGACTAAAGTCTCCTCAGCAGCTCTGTGGATTGTGCCTTGCATGTCCAGAGAAGGCATCTAACATGGGATTGTGGAAATCATTTGCACTTTCCACCCAGATCCCCACCCCCAGAGATTTTCACATGGATCTGAGTAGCACCTGCAGACATCACCTATGGTGAAACTCCTTTTATTTTACTACACAGCATATTTCTGGACAGAAAAAAGATTCTCAACTTTTAATTTGATTCACCTCTACAAAAGCATATTAAACCAAATATATTAAGAACATTATAATGTTCTTAATTAGATTATAATCTAATCACAAGCAGAAGCTGGAGTCAGAGTGTATTTAATCCTCCACCTCCTATCCTCAGTGGATGTCATTTGTAATATGTGATTTAACACAAATCTATCCAAAATTAGAAAGAAAAATTTCTGCAATTGTTACCTTTCATCATTTTTTAAAACAGCCTCTGGGTTGCGATGCAAAGCTTTCCTAGCAGTCGTACCTTGTGGGGGGCTCTATGCCTAGATCTTATATAAGCATCCTGTTTTGTGCACTGTTAAGCCTTTCAGAGCACACTTGAGTGAATGGTATGGACTTCTAGGTGAGAATGATGTCAACAAGGTGTAAACAGGTAAAAGCAGAAACACCAGCAGGTGACACTAAGACTATGGTGAAAATCATTAAAGAATGGCTGATGGCGTCTAAGGGAATACAGAGCGTAGTCCTTTTGACAGCCTCATTTGCTCAAACATTTCACAAATGCCAGGTTGGCATCACTAAAAATATGAATGTTTTTGTCTTTGAAGAGGTTGAATGTCCAGATTTTGAAAGGGGAGAAATTCTGTTAAAAATACAAGTCAGTATTCAAAACGGCAAGCTATTTTGTATAAATTCACTTAAAATCATATTTATTAAACTTTTCATACTCTCTCTCTCTCTTTGACCTTCTATTCTCATTGCCACAGCATGTCTTTAATAGTCAACATTTTTAAATACGTATGCAGAGAGCTGATGAATAAATGGTGACAGGTCTGAGTCAGTGCATGTGAACAACACCATGAGGCATGGTACAGCCTCATCACTATTCAAGTCCAAATTCTGCATGGCGTGGGAAAGAACGCAGAGGAGCTTCTTTGTCATGAAATAAGTTGATTCGTGGATGTGGCTGTTAATCCTAAAATGTCAACTTCATTGGATTAGGAAATTCCCAGCATGCTCTTCCGTATGTCTGGGTGGTTCACAGAAGCATGACCTTGGGTACTTAATCTGGTCCCTGGCCTCTTCCTCTCTGGCACTGTTCCCCCGCCCTGCTTCCAGGCTGCCATGAACTGGGCAGCTTTGCTCTACCATGCTCTTCCACCATGGTATTACTTGGAGCCAGCCAACCAGGGACCGTATCTCCTGAAACTACAAATTAAATTAAATCTTTCCTCCTTTAAATTATGGATATTGGGTATCATATCTCAGTGATGGAAAAACAAACCAATACAATGGACTAAGACCTAATCATATGTCTTTTTAAAAATATATATGCCTTTTCCCAAATATCAAGATCAGGGGCTATCCATATAATTTTGGAACTCTAACAATTCAGAAAGAGAAAAACAAAAATCTATAACTGTGCAGTTATTATATTTTTGTAAAGTTTATCTACTTGGCTCAAAAATTTTGGCAAAGCTACAGCCTACATGAGACTTTCGTATGCTAAGCTGTGGTTTACTAGCCATGAGCTCATCTGTGCTTGTATGACTACACAGCACGAAGATCTAATATGGTTAATCTCATAAGGACACTCGGCACTTTGCATTCACACTCCATGCTTATTAAAACATGCTTACAAACTAAAGAAAATGATTCAAACATGAGTGAAACTGACAGGAATACAAATGTACTCCACACTACACACTCAAACACACACACATACACACCCATCAGAAATCATGAACTGGTTCTATGTTTGCAAGTAAAGTCCACATTTAACTAAGATAAATATTTGCATCCAATTAAACTATGAATGATGTCATTTTCCCCCTTGGCGTTAATGTATCTGAATTTACTTTCTGCTATTTTCTATGCATCACAATTTCTGTTGCGCTATAAAGGGCCGCTTGGGAGCTCTATTCAAACTGCTCCACAATTTAAATCAATTGCACACTTGAATGGAACATAAATGTGACATTACGGTTCTAAAATTGTCTATGAAATTCTGAGAATTTTTTGGAAGTGTCCAAAACATCTACAATATACACAGACACACACAAAGAAGTCAAACTCTGTTTTTAGGATTCTACAGTTCATTTCCATTTTATTTCACATTCAAATCATTCCCTGAAATCATAGTAAAGACTTTCTTTTTCAGTTTTGCAAAATGTTAGTGCTCTAGGCCCTGGAATAGCTATGAGATTTTTTCCCCAGCACATATATTAAGTTCAAGATTTGGTAGACAATTGTTAAACTGTGTCTTACTTCATATAGGGTCTTTGAAAAAATTGTAGAGCAAAGTCTTTTAAATTTTTCTTATGACTAGAAAATATGAGAGCCAGCCTTCAAGAGCACGTGATGCAGCCCCCAAACCTACTGACAGAGACTCGCAGCCTCCCCTTTAGTCTGGCAAGCTCCCTCAACATACCACACGGCAAACATCTAACTAATTCTGCTCCCCAGCATCAAAACGAATGCACAAAATCGGAAAGACATATGGTTATTAGTTGGTTATTTTATAAACAAGATATATAAGACTTAAATTAGTACGTATCAAGAGTTGGCACAAACAGGCAAAGTTCATTTTCGAGGCAACAGTAGCGTCTGCACAACATACCCCCGTGGCCACTGCCCTCAGCCCTTCCCCACTCCAAGAGAAGTAGTGCTGCTGGCTGCAGATTTCTTCAGCTCTATTTTCATAGACTGAGTCTCAGCTCGAGCCTCGAATTTGGTCAGATTTCCTGCTCCTGGAGCTGCCACTACTGGCTTTCCTGCTTTCATACCTTTTGACATAGGAATTCGTGTGGGTGCAGGCCGCTGAGATGACCCATCTTGTCCTGACTGGAAGAGAACAGAGACACAAGGGACACAGGTCGTCAGTCCCACAGTGAGTTCCCTGCAGACAGGTTGTCAGTCTGAACACCAGAGGACCCCTGACACCCAGGAACACCCCAGGCAAAGGAGTGTAAGAAGCTCAGAGTTGGTGTCTGCTCTGATTACCGCCCTTTTCCCTTTCTTAAAACATCTCATGAGCTTTCTCCTTTTCCTAAGCTCTGTCCTACCCCTTCCACCCTTTCTGCAGATGACTTTAACACCTACCTCCCAGAGCAAATCTAGACCTCCAGGTGTCAGTTTTATTCCTAAGTCACCAAACCACACCCATTCTCCTCCTGTGCACCAGTTCAGATGAAGCAGCTCCCTTTTGCTTCCTAATGACATCTTACTCCTCTCTTTTCAGGGTCACTGCTGACCACACCTTCCTTCTTAAAATGTTCCTCACTGTCTCTCGCTGTGCTTTCTTAGTGCATCTCACCAATTTCCTGCCAGTCTCCCATGACTGTTTTTCAGTCTCTTGCTGACTCCTTATTCCACCGTGTTTGTCTTCTAAATGTGTCACCATGTCCTATTCTTAACCCTTTCTACATGCTTTACATTTACCCTCAGAATCCCCACTTAGTTATTTCCCCACTCATCCAAGCCCTAGAACCTCTAGCTTTCAGCACCGTCCTGAAATACAGATCTGTATCTCCACCTCTCACTGGACTGTACAGCGGCCCCGGCATCTCAAAACTTAGCCTGTTCCCCACGCAGCCTTCCTCTGCCTCCCATCTTACCCACCTAGACAACTGAAACAGAAACCCCAGAGCCACTCTCTACACTCAGTTTGTCTGGAAGTCTTTGCAAGTCTATGGTCACTATCTTTGTCCTCAATTTTGCTGCCATAGTTCAAGTCCGTACCATCTCTAACCTAGAGAATCAAACAGCATCCATCTTTAGCTTCTGTCTCCTCTAATTTATCCTTTAAACTGCTTTCTTGATATGGTAGATCTTTCTAAAATTAATGCAACATTTTTTTTCTCTATCATTGCCCTTCAAGGGTTCCCTTGATCTACTCTGTAAAACTAAAGGGCAATTTCACACTAAGACATGGCCCCACTCTCAACAGCTGGCCCCAGTTTGCAACTCTGTGTTTTGCACTTGCCTTCCCCCACCCCATGAGCAGCTACTGCAGGACATGGGGTTGCCCAGTGCACACCATCAGCCTGGGCTATTCCCTCTTGACCTGACCTCACAGTTAGTGTTCTGCTTGCAGACACCTCCCCTTTCCTTCCTGAGCCGCCTTCACTGTGAAGCATTCTCTGGTGGTTCCTTTGTGCATTCTGTCATAGAACTACCATGTAGATGTCAGCCCTGCCTCTCCCACTCCAGACGTACTAAAGTCCCCTCTGCATACCAGCACCCTGGCTGAAGTGTAGCTGACACTCAAAGCATGTTGCACGAATATATGCACATTTGAAACTAGCCTCGATACACTGTAAGAAGTGTGCCCTAAATCTTTTGTTCTCCCTGATTTTATGGGATCTGATTTACCTAAAATAAACAGGCTACTATTCAGGCCTTGGAAATTTTAAGACAGTTGTTTTGAAATGTCATTTTTCTATGGAGTTTAATCAGGAGTCCAAAATGTTGCTACTAAGGCTATCTTGATTAGAACCTGAAAATGGAAATAAGAACTTACAGCAGAAAATCTTCTCTAACTTACAATGCTTTACGCCTCCAATATATTTTTTTTAATAAAATGAAGCAGAAAGAAGCAAGATCCTATGCAAGCAATTATGCTGTTCCTAAAACAGTGGTCCTCGGTTATCTGAGAAAGGTGAACAATTCTGAATGTGATTTGGTTGTGGAGCTGACAACTAATTGTTTCTACTACTGAAACAGTTAGTAATTCTCACTCTGAAGTTTGTCTGATGTTCTTATGCATAGAGAATTAACATAAGTTATATTGAGGATATGGGAAATAAGCTATCACTTATAAATTTAAAGTATTAGCTTCCTATCTTCTTAAAATGCTATATATTTTCTTTTTCTCTTTAATGGTTTGAACAATCTTCCACTCATATCTGGTAATCTGAGCAATGAAGTTGAAGATAATAATATGTAATATAACAACCACTGTTAATTAGTATTATTTTGTCTTGAAACCGTGTGTCACTTTAAATGTTCTTGCTTTGGTTTGTTTATGTTTGTGATGCTGGTATGCTGCTATTGTTCTTTTTTTTTATTTACTACTCTCTTTAAAATAAAATTTTAAAAAAGATGCTATGGAATTTCTTTAGAATATAGAAGTCGTAATTTCTAGTCTATTTGCTTAAATTAATATCTAAATAGTTCACGTTATTCATAAGAATTGTAACCTGTCAATGAAAACAATTACTGGACATATATTAAAAATACAATTTATTTTTAAGTTCTAGATTTTGTACTTTGGATATTCTTTTTTATAACAATTCCAGCTACTTATGAAAATACTTTGTAGCACTTGCTCTTTGCAAGATATGATTAAATATAGTTCTTAAACATATAAACTCATTTGTTTTCTTTTCTTTTTTTTTTCCGGTACCAGGAATCAAGCTCATGACCTCGCGCTTGCAAGGCAAGCGCTGTGCCGCTGAGCTAAATCCCCAACCCCTTCATTTGTTTTCTTTTTAAAAAGTTTTTCACATGAGCCAGCATGGTGGCACATATCTGTAAAAGCCCGAGGATTGCAAGTTTGAGCCTAAGCTGGGGAATTTGGCACTACATAGTGAGATCCTGTTTCAAAATAAAAGGTGAAGGCTGGGAATGTAGCTCAGTGCAAAGGCCTGGGTTCAATCACCAGTGTCAAACACAAAAAAAAAGTTGGTTTATTTGTTTGTTGGATTTTTTTTGTGTTGTTTTTTGTCTTACTAGTTGGTCCGGGCTGGTTTGAACTCACTATGTAGCCTAGCCTGGCCTCAAACTCTTAGCAATCCCCCTGCCTCAGAAAAAAGCTTTTAATATAAAAAACTTTTAATCATATTTTCAGAATAAAGTATGACTATGGATATATATAATCATCTTGAGTATTTTAGTTTATAGAAATAGCATCTAGGAAGTGTGTTTTGGGTTTGTTTTTTCTTTTTTGAGACAGGGGCTTGCTATGTAGTTCAGGCTGTCCTTGAACAGCAGGGATCCTCCTACCTCTGCCTCCCAAGTGCTAGGATTATAGGCATGTGCCCCCGAGCCTGGCCAATCTATGCAGTTTTATTTCTTTCAACATATGAAGCAGCTCCCTCAATCTCCATCTTAAAAACTTCTTTTAAACATATGTATTTTTTACTTAGGGCCTTCACACTGAGCTAAGGCCCTAGCCTTTTTGTTTTCCCCCAGACAAGGTCTTGCTAACTTGCCCAGGCTGGGTTGAATTTGTGATCCTCCTGCCTCAGCCTCCTAGAGTGCTAGGATTACAGGTGTGTGCCACCACGCCCAATTAAAAATCAGATTTTAAACCTTAAGAGTATTCTACGCTGCTTTCCAAGAGACCGTCTGTGCAAGTAGTTTGAAGGATCTCCATACTTGTTTGGCATAATAAATGAAATGAAATTTTTCCTCAGAATTGACCTAATTTATCAAAGATCGGGCCCGTTTGGCTTTCCTGGGTCAGTGTCCCTGGCCTGCCCCCGGGGAACCTGCGCTCACCGCCGCCTGGGTGCCCCGCGTGGACGCGGTGGTGGCAGGCGTGATGGTGATGGTGCTGGTCACCTTGGCTGTGCTGGGCCGCACGGCGGTGGTCCCGCGGGGGGCTCGGAGGCCAGGGCTCGGGGCCGCCTCCCTGCCCGCGGGCCGCACGGTGATCACCGGGCTCGCGCCTTCGGCCTGCGCGCCCAGGTGGATGTGGATCCTGTTGTCTTCCGTGGTGATGATGCTGGCGTTGGCGTTGTACCTCCGCGGCGCCGGCGGGCCCGGCTGCTTCTCGGGGGTGACCCTGAGCACCGTCCTCCCTGCGGGCGCCTCCTGGGACGCCGAGGTCACCACTGGGGACACCGGGGTCCCTGCCGTCTCCGCGGGCGCGGGCGCCGTGGCCACCGTGCGCACCTGCAGGGGCGACGCGCGCCCATCCGCAGCCCGTTCCCGCGACAGGGTAGTGATGGTGACGGGGGACGCGGCGCGCTCGGGGTCGGCGCCCGGCGCGGGGACGATGGTGATGCGGGGCGCCTGGCTGCCGAGCGTGGGGATGACGGCGGTGCTGGAGAAGAACTCCTCCGGCGTCGGCCGAGTGATCTCCAGCGTGGCCGCGCTGCCCCCGCGCTCCGGTGTCACGCGGATGTGCAACGGCTGGCCGTGCCGGGGCGCCAGCACCAGCCCCCCGGGATCGGGGCGCCCCTCCT